GGGGGGGCAATTGAAACCTTTGGGTGATACAAGAGGCCCTTGAATTGGTCTACATCTTTTCTCGTCCAGATAATTTCTGAACTGGTTTACCTTATATCACCAAACACATGCTATTAAACTTGTATAGCTCAAAGTGATATTATTGTGTCAAAACCTATTAACAAACAAATTCCATGTAACAGTTTCCAAGATTTTCTGTTATTTGATTGTACATATATATCTATACAAATAGAACAATAATTTTGATTCAAAGGTTTGAAGAGTATAGTTTTTAAGTTAAGAGGAAGGAGGAAAACTTACAATAGAGAGTGTTACAGCCTGTACATCACCTGATATAGAGAGTGTTACAGCATGTACATCACCCGATAAAGAGAGTGTTACAGACTGTACACCACGTGATATAGAGAGTATTACAGCCTGTACATCACCTGATATAGAGAGTGTTACAGACTTTACATCACCTGATATAGAGAGTGTTACAGACTGTACACCACCTGATATAGAGAGTGTTACATCCTGTACATCACCTGATATAGAGAGTGTTACAGCCTGTACACCACCTGATATAGAGAGTGTTACATCCTGTACATCACCTGATATAGAGAGTGTTACAGCCTGTACATCACCTGATATAGAGAGTATTACAGCCTGTACACCACCTGATATAGAGAGTATTACATCCTGTACATCACCTGATATAGAGAGTGTTACATCCTGTACATCACCTGATATAGAGAGTGTTACATCCTGTACATCACCTGATATAGAGAATGTTACAGCCTGTACATCGCTGATATAGAGAGTGTTACAGCCTGTACATCACCTGATGAAAAGCCATCAATTTCACTGATATTTAGGTCTCAATCCATGGTTTGAAAAGTAATTGGAAGAAGATCCTGCTTGAATAATTATGATTGATCAGTATGGTGGAAGGCTAATTTAGCCAGGAGGAGTATAAAAATAACGTATTCTATAAAGGAGGTCTTCCTGTGTAACTGTATTTAATGTATGTCTTTCTCTGTAAAGTCTTTCCTCCGACTGTTGGTTAACAGTAACATCTATGCTGCGTGACTTACGAGGAAAACATACTGATAAACAAGGTGCTAATGTGTTTCACTGAATTAAATAAGATAAATAGTTTTCATATAAAATTTTAAAGATTCAAGCAGAAATTTTAATTGCACATCTCAGTTTTATTTGCTAAGCTGTACCTGAGGGAGTGAAGTGTTTCACTGGGTATCTGCGGGAACATCTTCACAGTTTTGAGAGGTAGATTTAAAATGTACCTAACGTAACAGGTCAGATTCATAGTCATCAGGGAGGGGGTGTATCTAACAGGTGTAGGGGGTAGGGGTATTAGGTATGGGGACACCTGTTTGTTAGGGTGAGGCAGTGAGAGATGTGGGGAGGGGGGG